CTCCTAGAGTGTGGCGGTCAGTCTCCTAGAGTGTGGCGGTCAGCCTCCTAGAGTGTGGTGGTCAGTCTCCTAGAGTGTGGCAGTCAGTCTCCTAGAGTGTGGCGGTTAGTCTCCTAGAGTGTGGCGGTCAGCCTCCTAGAGTGTGGCAGTCAGCCTCCTAGAGTGTGGCAGTTAGTCTCCTAGAATGTGGCAGTCAGTCTCCTAGAGTGTGGCAGTCAGTCTCCTAGAGTGTGGCAGTCAGTCTCCTAGAGTGTGGCGGTCAGCCTCCTAGAGTGTGGCGGTCAGCCTCCTAGAGTGTGGCAATCAGTCTCCTAGAGTGTGATGGTCAGTCTCCTAGTTGTGGCAGTCGGTCTCCTAGAGTGTGGCGGTCAGCCACCTAGAGTGTGATGGTCAGTCTCCTAGAATGTGACGGTTAGTCTCCTAGAGTGTGGTGGTCAGACTTCTGTCACAAACCTCAGCTGTCCACAACACAGTGTGACTTGCCAGGATATTAGCAACTCTGTCACAGCTGGGATGTGATTGACATAACTAGATGGAAAATCAACTGACTTTTGTCAGCATACTCTTCACATGGAGGCACAAGAGACTTACATTGTGTTTCATTGGCGTGACAAACTCACCAAGGATTACAGTTATCAGGTGACTTGTATCATTTAAAGTTTGTATAAATTATAATTGGTAGGATTTTTCTGAGAATTACCTCCGACTTGTAACTATATTTACGTGAGTGAGGATTGTGTTTTATCAGGTTGTTTATTGAGTAACATTGTGTGTATAAGTGTCGCTTCCACACTTACATTGGCTTGTAAGTGGGAAACATTGTATATTTACTGAAAAACGTTGTAGGTGAGATCAGCTCCCACTTACCTCAGCATTGGTTGTTAGGAAACATTCACACTTACGTGTGTTGGCTGTAAGAGGGAAACATCTAAAAAAAGTTTGGTGCAAGTCACAAACTTGAACAGTTAATCTAATATATGTTTCTGTGTTAAATTTTAAATATAGAACTATTTAATTGTCTGAGTATCAAGGCAGGCCATGTGTTCATATTTTCCGGTGAATATTTGATATTCAGAATTGATGTTGGGAGTAACCAGATTGGGGAGTTTGCTGTGTATTAAGGATAATGAAAACTGTACATAAATTTTAACTGTCGCCATACCTCAGTGCTGTTTTCTAGAGTTACCTCCCCTTATTTATTTTGCTGTTTTTCGGGGTATTGTAGGTATATAAAGTTATAATGGCCCATTTGTTTGAAGTATATGTGTTGATCAGCGATATGTTTCAAAAAAAAAAAAAACGAAATTTATTAGTAAAAAATCTTATGATGTTGGAATATGAAGGAATTAAAATCACCAAACCGACATTAACACTTGAAAAAGATTGTTCCTGTAGTTTAAAAAAAAAAGGATATATTTTCATGAGAATTTTTAAATCTCTATGCAGAAGGACCTCTATCTGTCCATTATGTTCTACAGTGGTGAAAGGGTTTAGTTGATGAAAATAATTTAAAACTTCTGTAATTAAGAAACAAAATGATTAAATTAAAAAAAGAACTAACACCGATTTTTACAATATTGTATATATTTTCATAACAAAGCTTTAATTAATGTCTTGCTTCACTTAAAGCTTTAAACAAATGGGCCACATTAGCTGACTTTTTTAGTTGATAAATGGCAGAAATTATAATAGTTAGGTTGTGATGCCCCATAGTGACCGTTTCACACTCAGGATCTTGACCCGTTTTATGTTTTCATGATTTTATGGAGAGATATCAAAACTTTTATGTCTTTGACAGGTTTAAATTATTTGCATGACTAGGAATTTTTTTAATTTTTTTTTTTTACATTGTACGCACCGAAGCTGGGCAGCAAGTGTGTGCGGGAAAACCCGCTAAAATATGGGGGGGAAATGGAAATATATTTTCTAGTTTACATTTCATACCTCACTGTCCACTGTATTCTTTTACACTAGTTTGTCAGACACTGTTGTCATGGTAACGTTAATCACTAACTCAAATTTCTTATGGAAGAAATGGATCTATGGTAAGGGCATGGGACCTATCCTTCTCACAGTTTTTACCTTTTGGCGTGCATTTGACTTTTATAAATGTGTGTTGTTATTTTATAATAGATAGTTAACAGCATAGCTAAATATAACATGTTATTAAAAATTTCAAATTCATCAGAGAAAAAAAACCCCGAAAAAGTTGAGGGAAAAAAAAGTCTTTTTTTGACACAGTTTTAATTTGAAAGTGGGTTTTTAAAACTTACAAAGTTGTTCTGATGAAAGGTTATTTTAAAATGATTTTAAGCTGGTACTTATAAAAGCATCTAAGCCCATGATGATGTAAATGTTACATTGTAAATCTTGTATACCTTAATTATTTTAGGGGTTGACTTTGGAGGGGATCAGAACAGTTTACTGTTGTCAATCCATCCTGAAGCACTGCCATGCATTATATTTTTACCTAATTTACAAAACAGTTACCATGGAAACTACCTGCTCAGGGCACTAACATTCAAAAAAAAAATCCTGAAATTTTTTGGCCAGTGCAGAATAAGAAAGGAAAGCTTTGCCACAATGTGTGGTTTACCCCTGACCTTCTATGTTGAGCCATTTAGGGTTCAATGGAGGTCACTTGGATGCCTCAAGTCTGCCATTGGGTGGTCAAACAAAGCTTCTAGACAGCTCCAGGTATTACCTAGCCATCTCGGGGTCAAGAATGTTTGCTCAATAGACCCTAATGCTAGCTATTTAGCTGTCAACAAGGTCATTTGATTGCCCCCATGTCGGCCATCTTGGTGTTAAATGTGATCAGGAGGGTCCAGCAATGTCACCAGAAAGCTCCTCGTCAGCCATGTAGTGGTCAAGATGGGTCATTTCATATCCTATTGTATTAGGTATCTTGGGGTCAAGTGAGGTTGCTCAATAGCCGTTCATGTTAGCCGTCTGAGGAAAAACTGTAATGTCTAGCCCCTACTGTAAGCCATTGAGGAATCAAACATAGCTGCTACATTGCCCATCTCCATTACCTCTCCCTGCTGTCTCTTTGGAGTCAGACATGGGTCGCCCCAGATGGCCTCTTAACCCTTTCACCTATGTAACTGTAGTAGACTCGACGATGCATTGATCTGGATGAGTCCATTATGGTCTACTGTGGTGAAAGGGTTAAGCTAGGTAGGGTGTGGTTCACAATCTCAGGTTGATCTATTCACAGAATATACCTCAAATGTAGGCATCACATCGGGCTTATATACACCCGCTGCCATGGAAACCTTAGAGAAAATGGCAGCTATATATTAACTTTGTCATACACCGTGCTGCCATCTATCTACTTTATTAGGTGGACATTCAAAGGGGGGGTTAATGCAGTTTATCTTTGATTCATTGGTTTCTGATAGTGTTTAATGCTGATTTAACCTAACACTTTGGCAGGGTGTTCTAACACTTTGGCAGGGTGTAGAATTATTGTACTTAGCAACGTTTATGACTGGTCGGAATGTTTATACCAAGAAAGTGCATGATTTTGTACTAAATTAACAAATATTATTCTGGCAACTTGACTTGCAGTAAACAAAGAAACAAAACAAATTATCTATAACATTCATTGTCTAGAATGGTAACCTGCAACTACCGCACATGGGTTACAGTAGAAACTAAAAAATACCATTAACATAAATCTATGGTATCCATAGACACACAAGGATACTATTGACAAACAGATAAATGGTTACCATAGACACACAAGTATACTACTAACAGACAAATGGTTACCATAGACACACAAGTATACTACTAACAGACAAAACAATGGTTACCATAGACATACAAGGATACTTCTGACAGACAAAACAATGGTTACCATAGAGACACAAGGTTTCTTCTGACCGACAAAACAATGGTTACCATAGAGACACAAGACTACTTCTGACAGACAAAACAATGGTTACCATAGAGACACAAGGTTTCTTCTGACCGACAAAACAATGGTTACCAAAGAGACACAAGGTTACTTCTGACAGACAAAACAATGGTTACCATAGACATACAAGGATACTTCTGACAGACAAAACAATGGTTACCATAGACAAACAAGGATACTTCTGACAGAGAAAACAATGGTTACCATAGAGACACAAGGTTTCTTCTGACCGACAAAACAATGGTTACCATAGAGACACAAGGTTACTTCTGACAGATAAACAATGGTTACCATATACATACAAGGATACTTCTGACAGACAAAACAATGGTTACCATGGAGATATATATCTATGGTTACCATACCATAGACAAATATCAATGGTTAGCTCAAACATATAGTTTCCATATTCAAACACATGTTTTGTTCTTTAATAGTTCCCAGAGGCTATGGAAAGTGCTTAATTTGATATCAGTGCTTGAAAAGTACTGAAAAATAGATGTTTCTTTGTAAAGTGCTAAAATTTGCTCAATATTCATTGAATACATGATTTAGGCTCCTGCATTTATCAAAAGAATATTGAGCAAATTCTGAATGTTTTGTAACTTTTGTGTTGATATTTGTATAAGATAAACAGCTAATTGATCCTTTTTAATATTTTGATTTATTTTAATTTTCTGCTTTGTAACTATACCTTTTAAAATACTACAATAAATGTTGATTATTTTATTTTTAAATTTTGTTTCTCAAAACACAGGAAAATTATTTTAAAAAGTTTTTGAATATTGTCCTGAAATATCTGTGTGAACCATGTCAGGATGCTCAACACTATAAAACCATAGTTACACACATCACGGTTACCATGGATACACACACATCATGGTTACCATGGATACACACATAATAGTTACCATACACATCATGGTTACCATGGATACACACATTGTGGTTACCATACACATGCACATCATGGTTACCGGTACCATGGATACACATATTGTGGTTACCATAGACAACCAATTCTACGGTAAACAAACACCTTTAGTTGTCATAGATACACACAGCCAAGGCATAGACATAGTTACAAAGTATAGTTACCATACAAACAGGTAACCATTAACACCTAGTGCCTGTTTCCATGGACACAGGTAGCCATAGATACATATACACCTTGTGTTGGTTACCGTACATGTAACCACAGACATATATACACCTAATGTTGGTTACCATACATGTTACCATAGACACATACATCTAGTGCCTGTTACCATGGACACAGGTAGCCATAGATACATATACACCTTGTGTTGGTTACCGTACATGTAACCACAGACATATATACACCTATGTGTACAGCCTAAGACAGTGGCTGTTACCCTTCTAAATCAATTACTTATTTGTTTGTTGATAGACAATTACCGGTTATTAATGACCTATAGTGTATGTACAGAGTAACGAACCGTTAACATGAGCAGAGACATCTACTGGTGCTCCTTACAAGAGTTGTACATCTTCATTTTTCCTCATTTTTGAGGTTCTCTCTTAGTTTTTAGATATATTCTCAGGTTTAATTTATCATTAGATCTGATTGAAAGTCATGGTTTTTAAACAGACTTTCCTCTTGGCATAGTTAGGTTACTACTGAACCTCTGCTGTACGTTCAGAGGTTTGAGAATAAATGTTAAATATGTGTATTTATGTAACTTGTGGGCATATGTGTGCAGGTTGTGTGATGTGTGTATTCAATTTGTGGACATATGTGTGCAGGTTGTGTGATGTGTGTATTCACTTCGTGGACATATGTGTGCAGGTTGCTTTGTGACACATGTGTATTCAATTTGTGCACATATGTGTACTTGAAGTTTTTGCCACCTAGTAGTATAAATCAAATTGTTTAAAACATTGGTTATTTCTTTTAATGTACAAATCATCATTATTTTTTTTATTTATAAAACATTTTACGCAAGATGTAATAATGTAAAATTAAAGACATGTTGGTATTACAACCATTTACATATGTGTTTCACATGTGTAGCATTTATACATATGTGCAGGTAACATTTACTTCCATATGTACAGCTTACAAAACATATGTGCAGGTTACATGTTCGTCATCAGAACACAGGTGGCCAGTTAGTATAATCTCATCATCGTACATTTAATTTGTCCGATATGTTAGTTTCTATGATATATATATATATATGTTATGAATTTTAATTAAGAATTTTTAAGACAATGTATTGTTGTTGATAAACCATTGTAGTTGATTGTATGAACATGTGCTAGTTCACTGTTTTCTATACCTGATATGGTTGTCCTGTTTAGAAGGTTTTTGTCTATAATGATGTGTTTTGGTCCTGTATCTCGTTCCGTTGTGTTACTATACATCTCATACAGGACATGTTCATACAATGTATCTTACTTATGTAGCAATGTATTTTCAGTGCATTGTATTCTGTGTATGTACAAATGTATACATACATGATGTATTTTGATTGTAATTTGTATTTTAACTACCTGCAGCAGTACCAGTATACTGGTCAGTTTCTAAGCTGACCATTGGTCAGTATCTGAGTTAACACTGGTCAAGATTTAATCTGAGTGACCATTGGTCAGTATCTGAGTTAACACTGGTCAAGATTTAAGCTGAGTGACCATTGGTCAGTATCTGAGTTAACACTGGTAAAGATTTAATCTGAGTGACCATTGGTCAGTATCTGAGTTAACACTGGTCAATAATTAACCTGAGTGACCATTGGTCAGTATCTGAGTGAACACTGGTCAATATTTAACCTGAGTGACCATGGGTCAGTATCTTATTCACCACTGGTCAATATTTTATCTGAGTGTTTCTAACCTGAATGACCATTGGTTAGAGTATAATAACAAATGGACATTGATTTCATTATCTGCATTATTGACTGACCGACTTATGACCAGTACAGATTTTCCAACAGAAGGTAAGTTCTCTTCCCACCTGTGGGGCGGGGGTGGGGGTGGGGGGAGTAAATCATGTAGAAAGAGAGACTTTGTACAAAGTTAACAATAGTGGACAAAGAGGAAGTTTAAGTAATAGAGGGACCATGTCTGCTTAGAGATTGATACGGAGGCTGGGTCTATCTGGAGAAATTAGGTATTAATACGGAGGCTGGACCATCTACAGAACTTAGAGATTGATACGGAGGTTGGGGCCATCTACAGAACCTAGAGATTGATACGGAGGCTGGGGCTATCTTCAGAACCTAGAGACTGATACAGAGGCTGGGGCTATCTACAGAGGGGGTTACCTTTTATATCCCGGTGTCTTAACACCTTTACAGGTATATGGGTCATCCTGGCAGTTCCTGCTGTGATTAGGTACACGTACGTTCTCAGCACCCTTGTTACATGTTATGATGAAATCGAAAGCTCTGTACGCGCCCCCTTGCGGATGATACAAGCAACTAGTTTGATCCTTTGATATACGTCAAAAGAATCGTGCGGCACCATAACGGTAAAAATTACTGGTTTTGAAGCCTGGTGTCGCTCCTGCCTAGCCATTGGTAAGCTTTTTTTCACCGGAAACTAATCAAATAGCTAACCGAGTCAAATAGCTAACCGAGTCAAATAGCTAACCGAGTACCTTCAAATTTGCCATAACATATTCCAGGGGGCAGACAGCTAAGTGAGCGTAACACCAGGAATTTCGAGGAAGATAGTGGGTGGGGGTATACAAATACTTGTGGAAAAAACTTACCGTTATTTAGTTTATCTAATTATTATATGAGACATTATTATATTGGACAATATGAACCATATACACTCGCCTTCTGAACAGCTAATGACTGCGAAATGTACCTCATAACCCTCTAACTCAACATTACGTTTACAAATATCGTTTGTATTTGTTGTTCAATTTCAGGTGAGCATACGGGCCATTTGGACCTTTTGTTAACACGATATCACTAACTATTTACACAGGGAAGAAACCTATGATGACATTTTTGGTGCAAATTAGATATTTGATGGATCATAATATCTACGTGTCTTGTATTTAGATAAAAATTGATTTTGACATTTTTCACCTTACCATTTGGCAATTGACATAAGGTCATACCTTGACCTTTCCTGACCTTGACCGGGAGAGTTGTCATGACACATCACGTGATTTTGTTTCCTACTACATATGCAATATCAGTAATTTTTTACGGGTGAATTTTGATGAGAAACGGGTTGTACCAGGTGTAGTATCATTTATTCATACATATGTGCTTTGAAACTGAATTCTGCTCGCAAGCTTAATGTGTTGAGGGCCGGTAAGGGAGGTACTCCACTGCTCAGGGACCTTTTCCCACTTTCTCCACTTTGTATACCTCAGTTCCGTAGGTAGACATTGTTCTTTTAGGTGTAAATATGTTCCTAATATCTCGTTTCAGTAAATTTGCGACACGTAATTAAGATAACTGTATATTTGTTAAATCTATCTCGTCACGGTNCCCCCCCCCCCCCCCCCCCCTGTCTGCTGGATAACGTAACTACTCCGTAGTGAAGCGGACGTTCACCCCCTCAAACATTAGCCCATTGGTTTTACATGACCAGGACCCTGTGTACACGTATGCCCTTCCCCAATACCCCTGTATCTAGCATTCAGTCATCCTTGTATGCCCTACCGCAGGGCCCGGTAATAGAATGCAGTGTGATGCTCCTTTTATCGGCCTTCGAGACCCTCTCTACTGACTGTACCGGCCCTCGATCAGGGCCCCTCTGACGCTAGGTCGTGTACACGTATATATTAAATACATGTGAAAGCCCTGTGACGTCACTAGCAAACAAATGCGGGGACCTGTGTGGTCCCAAATTAGGACTAGGCTACCATATACAGAAAATTAAAATTTCAAAATGTTTCAATGTCTGAAAATAAACTTTGTATGTGTGTATATATTAAATGTGTTAGATATTGTTTTATTATCTTGCAGTATTAGATTGAGCTTATGTCACGGCGCATCGTCTTTTGTAAGCCTTCAGGTAGATCGCCATGTACTGACCAATCGTATTCAAGTAATGGTGACGGTGACATAAGGGAGCGAGCACTTTCCTATGTTTACGGAATAAAGGTCCTTCTCTCGGAGACCATGTGACACAATGGAAGTTTTATAAAGCAAACTGGCATAAATATGAAAATCTAAGCGCTCAATTTTTAAACCATGACAATTTCGAGGCTTTGGAAAATCTATTTGAAGCATTCACATCTAAACTACTCGAGATAGCTAACGAATATATACCATAATCTTCTGGGAAATTAAACAGAAACTTTGGTAAAACGAAGAATATATATGACCAAGCCATTAATGTAGAAAAGCCGCTTTGGAGCAATTTAAAAACAGCCCTTCGTCCACCAACCTGAATACATCTGTGATCACACAATACTTAGAGCCAAAGCTAGACGAACAATACGCCCAAACAAACAAAAACCATCTAAGGAATCGTATGTGTCAAAATAAACTCCAACACATCTATCAAAAAGGCGGTGGAATATGGTCAGAAGGATATGTGGGGAAATGATCATTTAAAACAACGGGACATCTTAAAACAAAGGGTAAAATAGCTACATCAAAATTTGGTATTGCCAGTTCTTTTGGTTCTGCTTTTTCTAATTATTCACCCACTGAAAACCACTCCGAACAATTCCAAACAATTCCAAAAATTAAACAGACTAAAGAGAAAATAAATGTAAAATCTTCTCCAACAATGAACATCACAATCAACCATTTTCACTAACAGAACTCCGGGATTCCTTGCAAAATTCTCATTGATTTTGCAACACACTATCAATTTCGGAAACATTCCCGAATCCTCACTCAAAACACTTTTTAAAATGTTCGTATCATTGGGAAAAAGCAACGATACTTCTAAATCCTTAACCAGGAAAGAAAGCACTGATCCTTCTAGCTATCCCCCAGGCTGTGTTTATAAAACGCTAGATCGAATGATCAATTCCTGGCTTATATGTTTTTTGGAGTCAAGTACATGTAACATAATATCACAACTTCAAAGTAGTTTTAGATCCAGAAGAGGTACTAACAACCATTGTGTTAGACATGAAACCTTGCGCGTGAGGCTTTTCTAAAGAAGAAGCATTGCTGGGTTTTTTTATTTTGTTTACCGCAAAAAACGCTTGGGTCACAACATGGAAATACGAAATCATGAAAGATCTGCATGAAACAGGTGTATGAGGTAATTTGCCAAATTTTATATCAAGCTTTTTATCAGACAGGATATTACAAGTTCGGAACGGAACGGACATTTCTTTCCTCCATGAGCAGGTAATGGGCGGGTCGCAGGGAAGCATTCTTTCTGTAAAGCATTTTGGTCTGAACATGAATAATACATGTATTGTCAAAACGATATCTCCATCTGTAGAGGGCTCTCTTTACGTGGATGACTTTCTAATACATGCTACCGGTCAAAACATTTAAATACCACTGAAAAACATTTGCAGCAATGTTAAAGTGAGCTTCAAGTCAGAGCTTATGCAAACAGTTTTAAAACTTAATAAAAAAAAACGATGTGAACATACGTGTTTGTCAATGACATCAGATCCACGACCATACAAATCTCGCCCTGGATGGCGTACCTGTTCCTATAGTTGAACAAACTATGTTCTTAGGCGTCATATGTGATAGAAAGTTGCTGTTCCTTCTTCGTATGAAACATTTGAAAGCAAGATGCAGTAAATCACTTGACATTTTAAAGGTCGTCTCCCATACCGACTGGGGATCTGAGAATACTTGTAAGATCTGAACTAAGATCCATGGTTTATGAATCCCCAAGAAAGCCGTGTTGTAGCTGTTGGATGCTGTACATCACCAGGGTCTGAGGCCTTCACTTAGACACTAAACCAACCATCTGTAAGTCGTTACGTGGAAGCAAACTATCCTTATATCAACGTGGAAAGAAACCATCGCAGTACGCAAGTCAAATTAAATCAGATCCAGCCTATCCATGTGCTTTCTTTGTTTCATGAGAAACCAAACTGTATTCCAGCCTATGGTATTCGCATTTCATTCCTTCTTGAAAATGCGACACAGTCCAACTATTTACCACGATTGATGATCTGCCATGTCTTCTGGTTTCGCTGGCGGTTGATCTTTCACATCATGAGCCAGCTAAATCTGAAACAGTACCGAATCTTACGCCTTTCGTTCATCATTCAAGAACTGGAGCTACAATATAAGGACTTTAAATCATTTTATAATGATGGTTCGAAAAATGATGATAAGGTTGTCGCGGCCACGATAGCTAAATAATCTACTATTAGATGCCGGCTACCAAATGATACGTCAATATTCTCTGCATAAGACAATGCTATCTATCTGACTATTGGACACATACACTCAAATGATGTACCACAATCCGTTATACATGTACTCCGATTCTCTGTCCGTTCTACAGAGCGTTCTTGCTCATTTTATTATTATACCTCTATATTATAAATTTTAAACTCTATTTTACGTAAAATATTATATACTCGACGTTTTGAAAAGGTAAGTAATCGTAATGACCTACCTCAGATAATGATGGACCTGCTGTTGTGGTGTAAAACGAGAGGTAGACGATAACGAAAAGTATGTCTTAGCGCGTGGCCATTTTGCGGTGTAGTATCAAATCAAACGGTATTATCGTAATTCCACCATTTCTAAAATCTAATTTCTATTCAGCAGTAGATGTATTGTTTTCAATTCGAAAAACAACCTGGCATTCCGTTGAGTCACATGACGCGATCGATTCTTTGTTTTTCTAAACAGTTTGTGTAGGTCGGTAAGTACAGATTGTATACGGGTTCATTTATCACAACCAGTTACACTTTGATGTGTGACATATCAGCGACTATAACAATATGTGTTCTGTAACATTCATCACCTTTTCACGACAAATACGATCAGACGAAAAGGTGATGAAGGTTACAGAATACATTTTGTTCTGGTCACTGAAATATAACACATAAACTAATGATTATAAAAAGTTCTTCGACCAGACCAAATTCTGAGTCGAGTCATTTCGGTACATATATAACAATTATTGTACATTCGCTTACAGCGTAGCCGAATCGACATTGACTTTGTGGACAACTCGTTTACATTTTACACCCTTTGTGTGCATACGCTTCACTGGTCATTTGTCTGATGAAGGTGACAGTGTACATACCGTACTAGTCATCGAAACGTCACATAGAAACTATCATTGGTTGCGTAAAAAGAACTTTTTATAATTTATACTTACCAACCGGAAGAAAATGTTAAAAAATAACACATACACGTTTACTGGTTGTGCTATATATGAATCTTGTGCATTCGGGACGCTATAGCGGTAACCTCCGGTCAGTGTGGAATGAACATGTGACATCATGTTCTATGTTACCCAAAGGCAAACAGTAAATGATAGAGTGTTACAGTATTAATCTAGCATTATAACGACACCGGAACGTATTTGAAAGAGAGGTCATATATGGGTGGCGATTCGGGCCAAAAATGATATACAGTAACGCGTAAAAAAGTAACCCGTTGGAACTGACTTTTAACGCGTTAGAAGTGCATTTAACGCCGTAAAATTCACATCTAACGCGTTAAAATTCACATCTAACGCGTTAGACTGGTAAATTCACTGGCCAATCAAAGAAATCGTTCCATGGTTGATGCTTTTGATACAACTGCCAAAAGTTTTGCAGACCCTGACGGAATGTTATTGCGAATATGGCGGCTGAACAAGACCCATTTTTAAGACATGTCCAAAACACCGTGGACTATTACGATAGATTGTTTTCAACCGATGGATATGGAGGAGAAATCAGTTTTAACGCGTTGAAAGTCACTTATAACGCGTTACTTTTTTAACACGTTACTGTATAGTGTTTTTGGCCCGAACAGCCACCCGTAGTAATGTGCAGCGAATATCTGCAGACTTCGCATTTATAGCTCACTGGTTTTGATATATAAACTTAAATTTATCGGCATGTTTGGCATATTACTTAATACCTGTTAATTCCGTAACTGCATTGTAACTTCCAAATTGCTGCTTTAGAATCAATCCCATTATAATCAATGTGTTCAGAGTTGTGTCCCTTTAAATGTTATTTTCCATTTGAAGCAATATAATACAAACTAGAAATTGTTGGCTAACAATTTGGCGGGCTTTTCACCCCTGTATTGACTGGTTTGGCCTTCTAATTATAACCTGTGCAAGTTTACAGTAGCTGACTGAGTAGTGTAGTGGGGGATTCCCGTAGTGCGAAATGACGTCAGAGAAAGACTGGATAAATATAGGCAGCCAATGGGCTTAGTTGTATAGGAATATAGTCCGTAAAAGTCGTTATATAGTCCGTCCACTATGTACGTCAGGATGATGAATCGAACCTAGCTTTTTGCCTATTTCGGTTGGGTTGGCCATGCCAAAGAAAGGCCGATGTTTACCCACCGCAGTAGAGAGGTAAACTGTCCC